AGATAACTTGAAAATGTACTACTTCTAGGAAGATGTAATCATTTTTTGTAAATAGAGTAAATTAATAAGAAATACCTTATTTCAATTTCTTTGTGTACCAAAGTCCCAATGTGAACAACACATCCGGGTATTTTCTAAGATCGGGCATCCGTTTGCCCCAAACATAAACCAAAAATGCTAAGTACCTAACTTAGCCTTTTAAAGGCACAGAGCCAACATATTTAAACCGCCTGTTCTACCCATGAACAGGCATCCGACAACGCCCTTCCAGGTGAATTTGTCGAAGAGAACATCTCCCTTCCGGGTGGTACATTGTTCTAAGCGTCAAAACGTCGGACGGTCTTAACCGGCTAGGTTAAGCTCATGACCGTTCAAATGACCTATTGCAAACAAGATAGAGTCGGTTATTACCCCAAGGCAATACAGACGGCAATATTAAATCTTGTTGGGCAGCCGGCTATTGCCAAAAAGCAACCCAGCCGGCTTATGCGCCCATTAACCAACTTTTAACAAATCTTCTCCGACTGTTACCCCAAGGTACCCCAACCGGTGAAATTACAATTCAAGCGGTAGCTTTTTTTACTCCAAGGCAACTAAGGCGGCGAAAATTCTATCAAGTTTACTCCCCACCAATTTGGGGAAGATTCCATATGGCTGTTACCCCAAGGTAACCCAGCCGGTGAGAAGTCTATTGTCAGCCGACGCAGGCCGGCTCAGACTTCTCACACAAGCGGTCACATAGACCCCGATTTCATTCTCTAAGCGCGACTCAAGCGACAATCAGCATATTAACATGCGTCTGACCTAAACTCGCCTGACCCAGAACCGTTAAGTATTGATCTGGACATGTATGGCCAGCTATTTGCTTAGTGTTTGCACTAAACAACCACCCACCCAGGGGCAGGCATAGTCAACACATCCGGCAATGTCATTTAAAAAAAAAAAAAAAAAAAAAAAAAAAAAAAAAAAAAAAAAAGAGCAAGCAAACAATGAAAAGAAAACAAAGGGAAAAAATAGAATAAGATGACCGACTCAGTCGGCATAAAATTATATTAACATCAAAACTTGTTCAAATGTTAGCCGGACCCCTGTCCGGTAAAAGATACAATAGAAGCACATGGCACGCAGGCCGGAAAATTAGAAGAATAAGAGCTTATGGCTGAGGCGCAGGCTAATCATGGCCCTGCGAGGCGGCTCCTGGGGCAGGAGGGACAATCTCTTCTTGATTCTCTTCAATGAGCCGACTCTGTTCAGCCTTCAGCGTAGCCTTGAAGTTGTCGCTGGCCTTGGCTGCCGCCTCCTTCAATCGGACGTTGTCAGCAAGAAGATTTTTTCTTTCCTGGCTACCTCCAAAAGTTTGGAAGAGTCGTTCACCTTCTTCAGCTCCGCCTCGGCATTCTCCTTTTCCGCCTTGAGATTGTGGAGCTTGGTGTCGGCTTCATTGAGCGCCTTTTGGAGCGCCTTGATGGAATCTTCCTGTTGCATGATTATGCTTTTAGTTTTCAATTCATGCATAATCATGGAATACTGGGCAACGTTATGGGCGTCAGACGCATCCCGTTTAGCCCGTCTTACCTCCTCACACTTGCGGGCATAGGCTTTCTTGAGCCCTTCCACGCGCAGCATTGACTACAAAAGCCCAAACGGTTTCAGAAGGGGTCAGGTGGCATAATAACTTAAAACAAATTGGAAGATTATGTACCTCAGACAGTCCGGCCAGAACCTGGTCGGCATTGAAGATGTGGATCCCTGGGATCGCCTCCTTCTCTTCTTTGGGGACGGCCTTCAGCATGGCTCGAGCGTACCTTTGTACATCCGGCCAGCGAGGGGAGTGATCTGCACCAGAAAAAGATGGTGAGAAGGCAACATACTTCCCTCCTATCGACTGCCGGCTGCCAGAAGAGTCTTATGGCTGGAGCTGGGAGTGCGACTTGACCTGCATAGGCTTGCCAAGCAAAGAAGGGTTGAAGGGGTCAATAGTACCTTGGGATGTAGGCAGAGGGTCGTGGCTGCCCTCAGCTGGTACTGAAGCGCCGGATGCCCTAGGCGGCGCCGTCTCCTTCTCAGGAACATCCGGCTGCCTCTTCGTTAGATCAAACCCCAAGCCGAGGTTTTTGACAGATTTACCCCCAACCGTCAGACGGCTGGGTACTGTCAAGGAGGAAGTCTTTCTCGCCTTGTTGTAGATAGCGGCTCCTCTCCAGGCCGAGGCCTTATTATTTTGGAAATGGAATGGGGCACCTTGCTCCCATCCTGAAAAAAACGAACATAGGGATCAGGCGGCATAGAAGCCAAACGGAAATTGATGTAAAAAGAAAAGGAAAAAGCAAGATACCTTATTTTTCGCCGCCTGGGCAGCAAGTTTTTTCTCCGCATTAGCCTTGCGGATTTCAGCGGCTGACTTGGCGGGTGTCTTGTCAGCAGGCAGCGTAGCTAATCCACGCACTGCACAAAAGAACCCATCCGGTCAGAAAAAACAGACCTAACAAGGAACGAGTTATTACAAAATAAAATAGGGGCAATCTCTAATGTGACCTACGTTTATCAAACTGAGTGCTAAGCTTACAGACGGACATAAACGCCTCGTCTCGAAGAAATTCGTGCCTAGGTACCCAATTTCTGGGTACACTTATTAAGTCCCCATTGGAGAGGGTTGTGGTGGTATGTTCAAAGAACTTAGACTCTATTATTCGCTCATAGTCCTCATCCGGGATGCGAGGCTTCTTGCACTTGTGGCCCAGAAGGGTTGGCTTCCGGTTGTATATCCTATACTCCCGGTTTTCCTCCTGAGTAGGGGCGGAGACCAAGTAGAACCTGTTCTTCCAGTCTGACCACTTAGACGGTTTGTCTAAGGTCATCAGATACCTAGGCCATACCCTCGAAGGATGGCCTTTATTGTGTTATGAAGGGAGAAGCGGAGGCCAGCCAGAAACGCCGCTTCATAGCAGCCAAAATACCCATTTGCATTGGGCTGCTCGTCTTCCCAAACAATAGTGCCCATCTCAAGCGGCACGATTATTTTCCACTTCTTCCCAAGAGGACGAATTTTTATGAAGTCCTCCAAGTTATTGGCCATGCTAGCCCTATCCTTGGCAGAAACGGCGATGAGGAAGGGGTCGCCTTTATTATTCCAATTAGGCCTCTCCTCCGCCTCACTATCAGCATCCGGCGTCAAGAGGCTGCTGCTGCTGCCACTCTACTCTCTACCGGATGAGGAGGCGGCCTCGTCGTCACTGACACCCCTTTCTTGGTGTTCCAGTTCGACTCCAGAAGGCGAGGCGGCATCTTCATCGCCTCCCATACCCATTCCTAATATCCCATCACTAGGAGTGCTTGGGATGGCATGCGGTGAATCCCTTGTCGAATCTGCCTGATCAAGGTCAGGCGGCAGCTCGCTAGAGTCTGCTTCTCTGTACTCTGGGTCGAAGGCAGTCTTTTTTGTGCGAGCCATTGCGTCCTGCACAGAGACAGAGACGGTCGGTTTCGGAGATGAACAGGGAGACTCCCCGTACCCAGAGGCGGCACCCCCAGTCCTAGACTCAGCCGTACCAGGAGACCGGCTGACCTCTAAATTGTGGTGTGCCGTGTGTGTGATGGGTGAGGTCATTATTTTAAGGTATATACAGCCAAAAGATTCAAATATAAACTCCAAAAAGACAAGGAACCAAGACGTTACCTTGAGATTGAATAAAAGTTTGAAGATGGTTGTTGACAAAAGATACCCCAGACGGTATCACTTTGAGCAAACTGCATATTGGCAGAAGAAGAAAAATTAATCACCAATGTTGCCCAAAGATACCACAGGCGGGAAAAGCCGGTTGGGTTAGATTTGCCGAAGCAAGTAATCTGGTATTTTATCAGATTGTCCCAAGACCCCCCAGACGGCATAAACTGGCTGAGGACTCACGAGAGGACAGCTCAAAAAGAATTGAACGAATCCAACACAGGAGGCCTGAAAGCCGGATGTGTATTCGTTAAGATGAAAAGGTTGTTTGAAGGCACCCCAGGCGGTAGAGCCGGTCAGGGGTTCCAGCAAAACAGTTTAGGAAGGAATTGCTTGCTCACCCCCCAGACGGTGTGAGACCGGCTGGGAAAACAGCAAGGCAGACCAAAAGAAAGTTTGATCAAAGATACTACCACAACCTGCACATATAAGCACAATAACTGATCTTCCAAATGAAACTAGTAGATTAAGTCACGTGTGGGTGCTATCTCTTGATCAACGTGACTGATTAGCAGATTGAAAATGAGACCAATATTCCTTCACAAGTTGGCCAAATAGTGAATCTTCCTTCTCCATTAGCTTCAAAGGGTCATCATATTCAGCTAAATTTCCTGCAACAACATTTCATTACATTCTATCCTGCCGAATTCTTTTACGCTTGACTAAGTCTAGCTACCTATAATATTTTGTAGAAAATGCTTCTAAGTTCTGCAACTCTTGCTTCAGATTCATTATACTTGTGAAGGTTGCTTCAGATTCATTATACTTGTGAAGGAATATTGGTCTCATTTTCATTCTGCTGATCAGTCACATTGATCAAGAGATAGCACCCACACATGACTTAATCTACTAGTTTCATTTGGAAGATCAGTTATTGTGCTCATATGTGCAGGTTGTGGTAGTAGACGTTTAGTTTTGATTGTTCTATTACCTCTCCTAAACCGCACCAAACCGGACCACGTACACCCCTATAACTACGAAATACACAAAACGTGATGTTTTCTAATAGCAAGTCAAATTTAATAATACACAAAGTATATGAATATTTTTTTAAATAAAAATATTTATTAGAATTGGATCTACCAGTTGGATGTGAACTAGATCCGGATGTCAAAAAAGGATCCAACTCCAAACCCATCCTATAAAACGTATCCAAATCCATCAATCACGCCTACTTTCATTAGAACTTTAAACGGGTTGCTAGGCACACACCAAATTCATTGTACATCTGATGCATCTAACCTGTCAGTCAAAAGTAAACCCGACATGAAACATATTTTACACCAGTAACGATCTTTACTAAAGTCTTTGTAATATGCAAACATTCCAACCTTTAAATAGGTGGGACAAGAACAATTGCAACCTAAATACAATAGTACGTTGGGCTGCTGGCTTAAGACTATTACACTGGCCCTTTCTTTTAAACAATAGCAACATAGTCAAACAATCTATAAGAAAGGCTTAATGAAATACAATTTGGTTACATTCTGTACAAATTAAACCCCTACGCTGCTAGTTCTGTCCTAAGGGTTCCAACAGAGCTTCTAAAATAAGGCCCTGCACAAGAGGAGGCACCACAATATATCAACCACATTCAACTTTTTCAAATTTTTTTTCTAAATTATACACAATCGGGATTTGGGAAACTTGTTTGTTCGTTCAAATAGGCGATAATTGTGACTTGACACAAGTCTTTATCTTTCAACTTACAAGTACACCACCTTAACAAAACCAGATGGCACTTGTAGGACTTCTTCCCCACAAGAGGGAGCCCTTTAGAGAAAACAATATAGAACCCTCCTGATTTCATGCATGTCATCCCTCTCATACATGTTGCAACCAACCACACAGCTATGCATCTTAGTCAACCACATTTCTCCTAGCTCTTGACTGATTCTGATGTTATCCAGCCATTATTTTCCTCATCGCGAAGATTGAATTCAGTGACAGGAAATGGAATAGATTGGTGAGCAAAATCCATCAACATCCCCCGTTGGTGATCATCAGTGTGAGGAAGACTTGCACGTAGGAGTTCCACAGGCATCTCCCTGCGAATAGCCCTTGCTGCTTCTGATCTCGAATATTCAAAACTTGTCTGTGCTCGATTCAAAATAGATTGCATTATAGTGTCATACTTACTAACACAGTACTTTGTTAGCAGAGTAAAGAATGTTGCAAAAGAAGCTTTCCAGAAATTATAATGGGGGACATTGCAGCTGCCAGGGGCTTGTCGATTAGGGTTGGTTAGCACAGTAGCTCGTTCAAGCAAAGACTTCAAGATTACAGAAGCAAGATCGCCTGTAGGACTTCCTAGTGGGCGGAGTGGCGGCTGCTCTGGAGAACAAACAACAGCAGCAAGACATGAACTCAGACCACGGAGATCCATGCCACTGACACAAGTTGAAACTGCCTTTGCAAGATCTACAGTAGCCACAGCAGCACCAGATTCAGTTGGAAGACCACCAAACAGAAACCTTAAATGGCGAAAAACAGCCATGCAAACAATTCGAGCCAACTCGCTTGCAGGGCCAGGGCTGATTGTAAGAAGCTCAAGGTACTTAACTAGAAGCTTCCAGCCCTTCGGCAGAGAAACAAGCCGCATGAACACAATATCATCCCCTGGACTGACTGTATGCCCCCCACTTCCAAGAGGATCAACAAGCTGAAGGGATGCAGCTAAAGCCTCTAGCAGAACCTGTCGTTTACGCCTAAGCTGAGACCCCCCATCTTGGGGTGGACTACATTGTAGAAAACGATCAACATCATGTACATCGAGAAGAAGAGTAAAAGCATCCTCCACAGTAATTCTAGCAGCAAACATTGGTTCTTGTTCAAGTGACTTGTGTTCCGTGCTACCATCACTGCATCCTGATGAAGGGGGTTCAATTTCAAGAAGAGGTCGAGGCCTACGAATGGATGACAAGGCAAGCCTTCTTATGGTATCAAAGGATTGATGGCCATGTTGATCAGAGCCACTATTACGTACACGTGAAGGCAGATCCCGCAAATGAAGGGGAGCAAAGTGATGTTTCAGCCTCGCACTCGACGATTTTTTAGCAGCACAAGCCTGGTGATAATAATCATCTATATATGGGTCATTGCTGTGAGAAGTATGCTGCATCTTCAATATACTATCTATCTCCTCAGCAGTCATATACTTAGATCTGAACTGAACACAATCATTCTTCTGGCTAGCAGACTCGGATGCTTGCTGACTAAATCGATGATGCTTACCACGCATTGATTTCGGCCTTTGATCCCTCGTCTCAGAAATAGCATATGCTGTGTCGTACTTTTTTAATATATGAGAGGGCACCGATGAATGGCCACCAATGAGCTGGGACTGCATTAATGAAAATTGTGCCAGTGATGGTAAAGACTGACGAAGTCCTTGTTGCAGCTGTCTCCGTGGTGACATCAATGCTGAAGTACGAAGTAACCCATTTTGATGAGTAAATTGTTGTTGCAATACATTATTGAGAATCCTAGAATGATCCCCATGCAATAAACCAGCATGGTTGCTCCACTGGCTTCGTGGCTGGTTATTAATTCCATGGCCAGGTATAAGACCTGAGAAGTTTCCACCATATTGTAGTCCATGGGCATTAGAAATCCCAGAAAAATGACGACTAGAATCAGACATATGTGACAGGTTTGATGCTGAGAGAGTTAGATCAGGACCAGAATTCAGAGATGGGACATTTACAGGAAGTGAATGGCGATGAGACAAAGGTTGCTGAGCTCTGTCTCCCGGTGGAGGAAAAGAGGTAAAAGATGATTTGGGAGTTGAAATTGTATCGCTTGAAAAGTGTTGCTGAAGATACTGCTGCTGTTGTAGTTGCTGCTCTGGGTAAGACAATGCTCTGTACAAGGGTTTATATTCCCCAGGATGATTCGACAAGCAATGAGGCTGAGATGACCACCTTTTACTTTCCAACGCATTGTCTACATCTGACACACTATGATCCAACCAGCCTTCCCTTGACCAATCTGCGACAGATGAACCTGAAATAATGGGATATCACAAAAAAGATGTGAGTTTATGGACAGCAAGTAATTGATAATAATGTAATTTCAAGCTGAAACACAAAGTGATCTAAGATTGCTGGATGCAAAAGCAAAGGGTCCTAAAGCTGGCCTCAAATGCATAGGGTGAAAAATTAAACTTCTCATCAATTGTGTTTTTGTTTCAAAAGGTGTGGTCAGTAGGAATTTATTACAATTATAGCAGAAGTGTAAGAGAGTGCACACATACACCCTTGTTGCATTAGTTTAAGTTATACACTTATCCTCGGATCTTAACTTGCACATGGTACATTTAATACATGTCAAAAGAGAATTATCCAAATTGTTAAGAAATGACACTACATAATTTCCTCCATTAATTTAAATAACAAATGTAACACCGATTAACCTTCTACAAAATCCACAGTAGAAACGTCCATTATAACATTTGACAAACTATGATCCACAGTAGAAACGTCCAATATCTAACAAAAGGAAACAAAATACTTCTATCGTGTAAAGTGTAGCTCATAGGTCACCTAAGTCCAGCTTCCCCTGCAGTTTAAACCCTTTGGGATTAAATTTGGCATTCCCCTAAAGGTCAACTACTCAACTGCACCAAAAACCCTTCATAGGACTTGATAAGAGAAAATTACCACTTGGAAGACATTCCACAAAGACTCCATACAGAATAATTAATCTAGGGTTAGATGAAACCTTGTATCTGAAGTTGAAGAATTAATTGACAAGGACACAAAAAAAAAGTTCTTGCCTTGTTCTCCACCATTTTATTTATCAATTAAGGAAAAAAGAAATTGAGGAAAAAAAAAAGGCCCTTAGACCCTTTCACAAATAACTTTTTACCAATAAAAACACTACTGAATTCTGAGATACATATAAACAAATGAGACTAGGTAAGCATGAGAGATAATCATAAAAATAAATAAACAAACGAATCTAGTAGAATTAAGGGGAAAAAAAAAAAACCACCCTAGATTCAAGGAGTACAAACAGAACAAGGATAAGTTCCAACAAAAACAGTACAGCAAAAGAATAATGCATGTATCCATCAAGGGGCTAAAAACCTTCTAAATAATTTTAAAATCAAAAGAAAGGTTTTTTTAGATCAGAAAAAAAAAAAAAAAAAAAAAAAAAAAAAAAAAAAAAAACTGAAATCAACCAAGAGAATGGGAGGTGAGAGACAGGGAGTTCAAACGACGAAAATATTAAGACATACTGACATAGGAATGGACAATGGAGAATTTAAAAAAAAAAAAAAAAAAAAAAAAAAAAAAAAAAAAAAAAAAAAAAAAAGGGAAAATGTAAGAGAACACAAATAAAATAAATAAATAAATTACGTATTTTATGTGTGCAACAAAGGACCCTCCTATACAAATTTCTAGGAAAAATTTCTAAATGGTAGATTAGTAAATTGAAGGGCATGTCATCAAGGTGATGATTAAATTAAGTCACCCCACCACTAACACAAACACCCACCAGAACACCCACTTGTAACCCACCCTAGCCACCAAACGAAACCACCTTACTGACGAACCCACCACACCACCACCATTACCACCATCATCCACCTCTTACCCACCCCGGCCTCATCTCAACCCTGTAAACACCATCCCTACCATCCATAACCAAATCAACCCTCCCTGAAACCTCAACCCACCATCTTGAAGTCATTGTATCCACCCCAACGCACAACCCACCCTCTCCAAGTAGTCGTACTCACTTCAAAACCACCACCAATCCACCACCATAACCACAATCCTAAAAATATGATCGAAAAGGATAAAAATGACCAATTATTATTACCTTCTCATCATCAATTAGGGCTTAACATGGTAAAATTTGACTTAGGGCTTAACATGGTAAAATTTGACTATGAAACTCTAGATCTAGAGTTTTCATAGTCAAAGTTGACCATAAAACCTTTAAATTTGAGCTTTAGTGGCAATGATGAAACGAAAAAAGAAAGAAAAAAAAAAAAGGGGAGGCGGCAGCAAGGAAAAGGAGGAAACGGCAATGACTTCCGACGAAGGTGGCGGTCGAGATCCAGAGGAAGATGAAAAAAGAGAGGAGAAATGTGGGTAGATGAAGAGAGTGGAGAACCGGAGACCGGTGGTGGTAGTGGTGGTTGGAGGAGATGGAGAGTGATGAAATATGAGGGTGAAAAGGATGAATTTAATTAGTTTAGGGTTGAATTAGGTGAGAATCATTAGCTTAATTTAAGTTCATAATAACTTAATAATATTTTATTTAATGTGATAATTGAATTTAAGCAAGGATATGTTAGTAATTTCACTTTAAAAAGTTTATTAAAAAAATGGAAAGTTTTAGTTCGTTGCACATAATGTGTAGCAACCCTTTTTGGCAATTGTTGCACATAATATGACACGGAGGTAGTAATCAAGTTCAAATTATTTCAAACGAAGTTCTGATATCAAGTGCATAGAAGATGAATTTATACATGCATACAAATTATAAATTCATGTATCAAATCAATCAAAGCCTGCTGGACAGTAAGACAACTTTGTATAAATTCATATAAAAATAAGACAACTTTCGATAAATCAAATACACACCCTATAACTGAATAAACCAAGATATTCTCATTCAGCATCTCATAAGAAACTCCCTTTTACATTTAAATAGTAGAAATCTTACAAATTTATGTGGTATTAGACTTACTTTCTCTTGACAAAGATCCAGATCCTCTATCACCAATAACCCCAGGATTCCTTGGTCCTGTGACAACTCTATTCAGCTGTTGACATGATAATTTTTTGTTAGGAGAAATAATCACATTGTATCGTAAATTGCTTATAAACTACGCAGAAGCTAAACAAAAAGAGGCTGATAAGCAAAAGTAAAGATTTTGCTAGCGTTAACAATAACAAAGTGCCCATCACAAAAGAAAACCCACAAAAGTCAGTATAAGTACTTAACGAGAACCAACTACTGCAGTTAAAGATCCCATAGTTATTATAAGCCAACTAGATACTCAGGTAATAGATACACCAGGTCAGTGAATAAAAAAGTGAGCCTACAATATCTAAAATCCTAACCAGGACAAAATAAACAGTCAAAAAATGAGAGCTTGGAAAGCTGCCTTCATCTATAGTATTATCAATAGCTAAACGTGATAATATAAGGAAAAGCAAGCAGCTTAGTTTCAAAATGTGCGAGACGCACCAAGGCACTGTTCTTGGGGCCTAGGCACAATATGCAAGGCAAAGGACACACCTATGGTAGGTGAGACGCACTTTATTTATAAAAAAAATAAAAAAATAAAAAAAAAAATTAATTAATTTCTATTAAATAAGTCTACAAAAGAACTCTGAGAAAAGGTGAAAGGGCTATGTGACTGATTGCTAGGGTTTTGGGGATGTAGGGTTCCCTCTCCTCCAATATTAAAGATAATCTAACCGTTGTAAAGTCGCGTAGTGTTCTTATTTTTGAAGTATATTACACATCAGCTATTGACGCCGTACAACATAAAGCACAAAAGGCATACAGCCTAGAAATGAAGTGCATAAGCACGTGTCCTTTGCAGGTCTTTTGGCATAAGTGCACTTTTTAAAAATAAGGCAGGCAGACATGAAGCATTCAGGAACGTTTGTAACAACTGATTTAGGGGTAGGGGCAGTACGGAGATGACAGTATACATCTGTTATCAGCAACTTGAAGAATAAGTAATATAGTTGTCAAGAGTAGAAAGTTCAAAAAGGGAAGCGTTATCTACTCCCTTCGTCACACTAAGATTGCCCACTTGACCTATTTGGGTAAAAGAGGCACAATCTTAATGGTACGGACGGAGAGAATATATAAAGGTCATCTAGAGAGAAGATAAGAAAGATTTGTTGAGAAAAATCTATAATGCTTTGGTTCGTAAAATTTTAGTAGATACCAAAGTGATTCCACAAAGATGATGCATATAACGATAAGAATGTTCTGGAAAAATTTTGGATCTGAGCTTAACCCAATTCAGAGAACAGAACAGGCGTACAGAAGGTGGTGGAGAGCCCACACCTAAATGCAATTGGAGATCAATTAACCTTCCCACAGAAAGCAGCAACGACACCTAGGTCCATCTCTAAGCAACTAAAACCTATGATCCAGGAAAGGTGAAACTCATAAAAGTAAATCAGCCAATTGGTTTCGAGTGATTTTTGAGATGATGACTACAACAGTCACATGTCAGCATTGGAGGTGGCATATTCCTCAGCGAAGATGGCAGAACCAACTCGACACCACTGAAGTATAGTGATGGAGTTAGAGACGGTAATCTTGACATTTTAGGATGTTAGACTGGATAGTGGGCGTGGTATAGGTGAACCAACCACAGCAGTATTAAATTTGCGGTGTACGAATCTGGTGGTTTTCCAGGCAGGATTGCTGGCGAACAAAACATAGGTGTAACTAGGGAAGGTGGAGTACCACATCGCTGCAAAGTGAAATCACCATAGATTTTACAGGTTTCTTTACTGAAAAAGAAAGGTCTAAAGGCTGAACTGCTGGTGATGGATTAAAAAGGTGGAACAGAGGGCTTCACAGAGGGCAGATCTGGTGCATGGTGAGCTCAAAATTTTCAGACAAAAAATTGGCGATGATTCATACTTCTTCAATAGAAAAAGATCTGTTGGAGCTTGCAGCAGAAAGTTCCAGATATGAGATACAGATAAGCTTTGCAGAATCATTCTTTGAGTTGTTGGGGGCACATCAGTAAATGCTTAAGGTGATAACACAACGATGAATCAAGCAATTGACAAAGGAAAATTTGGTTTAGGATCTTATATAATGTAATTAAGTCCTACTTTTCTCTGGGCTTATCAAGTGAAGGTTCACTTCGCCATCAGTTTTCAAACACAGCAAATCAAACAGCTATCATATCAGCCTAGCCATTTTTTCATTAAACTAGCATTCTATCAGAATATTACCCTCCTTATTTCTCCAGCCCTGAGACTAATTACCCAATCACACTGATGGGTTTGGTCCCACATTTGTCTATTCTATTCCTAAGACCAATCTCTCAACAAACTTCATAAACCCCCTTTTTTTAACACTTTAACTCACCACTCCCTACTACAAGAAACATTCTTCCCACCAACTTTTCCAACCACACAGCTCCCAGCACCAAATCCAACTTATTCCAGAAATACCCCACAGGAAATCCCATAATTGTTTCTCCATAATCTAGACAGTGGTGAAAACTCTAAACTTCAATAATGGGGAGTTTCACAACAAGCTGAAGCAGTGTCTTAGGTTCAAGTGTAGCGACAAATGGGACACAGATCATCGTTGCTGTCACCAGAAATTGATTGTTAATTACTTATCAACCCTACGAACAAGATAGAAGTTTTGGCAGGCAATAGTGTAGCTCACCAATCCACAGGTAAGGGTGGTATAAGGAGGCAGGTAATAGTGTAACTCACCAATTTACAGGTAAGGGCGCTATGAGGAATGATAGTATATCTCTGTAATGGGCTTTGGGGAATAAGTTGAGAGGTAGTCAGAAAATATTATAATACTTTAATTAGCTTTTAGTAGGGAGTGTGAGAGTGTCTAGTCACTCAAAGGATGAGGTTGTAATTTCTCCCAAAATACTCTTCTTCAACCTCAAGTATACTAATCTGATTTACCAGTCTAAAACAAGATCCTAATATGTAGTAGAATTATATAAACCACAAGCATAAGCAATAAAGAAACTGAAAGTTTTCCTTGAAGATAAAAAACTAACATGGAAGATTCTACTTTTAATTTATGAACATAATAGATAAGATAATAATATTCAAGTCAACCACCAACGAATCAAATGTAGATTCTTTTATCAGTACTAAACAATAACTAAGCCCATAAGACCTTAGCATCCGTAGGGGAAATTTACTTTCTAATATTTCAAGGGAACAATTTCGACATTCATAGTCAATATCTTTGAATTTTAAGCAAATATTGACTATCGATATCGTACCTACTCACATAAATGCAATCAAGCATGAAAAGGAACAATTGCTGAAGATAGAAAACATCTTTCTCCCCCCTCATACTTTCATCTATCAGCAGGCAGTCAAGAATTTAGTGATTGTTCTCTCACATAAGCATATTTTTTTTACACTTTGAAACTATTAACACGTTACCCTACTTAAATAGACTTATTTGCAAGAAGCAGAATAAATAATAAACTCACAAATGGAAGATTATAATGCTCAGACTCGACAACCTACTCCATCAGCTACTGTGTCAACACAACTCAGACCGAATGCAGACACAGAATACAGGTCAGACATGAGACACAGCAGTCAATAACTCTGGATTCAAAACTTTGTGGCTTTTTAGCAAAAAAGGGAAAGACAGTCAAACATACAAACTTTCCAAAGTTCTTCTCTGCCTACAGGAGGCCTGGTCTTCTATGATTTCTTTGCTATTGCAGGATAGATTACAGTACACTACTACCATGTAGTCTTTTTGGCTTTCATCCTTCCTTTTTTAAAAAAAATGGGTGCTTGCAAATTAACACCTCTTATTTTCACATATCCGTGATGACACACACCAAACAAAAAAGCAGCCCTACCTTAACCCCTACAACTTAGGCCCTGTAGACACCTTCAATTTAATGTTCAAAATATCAAGCTATACAAGTTGCTTACTTAGTGAAAACTGAGAATAGGTTGAAGAATAGTCTCTTGGCTCAATTTATAATCCCTTCCAAACCCAATCCATGATATCCCATAATCCCAGTTAAAAAATCGCATATCCATGCAAAGAGGTTTACAAATCACTGAAAAAAATTTGTTGGCGACTCCCTAGTTGTCAGAATTGGATGCCCCTTTCACATAAGCTAATCCTATGCCAATCACATTCAAGTGTGTAACAGGAAACATTCAAATATTTTCCATGTAGCGCAAAAAAATCTATGCCAACAGGCCCTTTCTCTACCCAATGTTTCCTGATCCCAATTTCTTATCTCAGTTCTCCACTCCCCTCCTCCCATTCACTTCATCCTAGGTGTAGAGACAAAATATGCTGGAAGATGATGAACACTAGAACTGATCATAGGGTTGGATATTAACTTACCAACAAGTATCAAACCAATAACCCATGTTTTTGTAATCTCTGACATGTCTTAGTAAATAGAAAATAGTATCTACTTTGAAAAGCAATCTATTTTATTAGAAATAATACAATGGCAAATGTTTCTGCCAAACAAATATCATCCAAAATAGAACAGCATCAACATCACTGGAAGCTTACCTTCAAGAATGTGGTTTCCAGATCATCGACGTCTGACAAAGATCCTAAATTGACATCTTGCCCCTGAAACAAAGTAAAAGAACATAAAAGGTCATATCTAATAAACGCAAGCGATCAATCACCCTTTACACTTTTGCTTTAAGAAATGAGAATAATATTAGCAAAGAGCATTAGTGAAAAGTTGTAAATTAATTGCCCAAGAGAAGAAACCAAAAGAGTTCCATCCACTCCTATTAGGATTATATGAGAGCAACACTCCCAACAAAGAGCAAACCCAACTAGTTTACGAGAATCCACTCTTTCAAACTTTTTAAATACTTGTGAACCCTTCCTAAAGAAGAATTTCACATATTTTAAACCATGGTTACAAAAACTTGTAACCCCTTCCCAAAGAAGTATTCCACAAATTATAAACCATTGTTACGTGGGATTTAATTTTTATTAAGTTCAATGTCCATGACAATTGATTCAATTCACAACATACAGAAACTCTAGGGGAAGCAAGATGATCCAATCTTTATATATTCCTTAAAGTTGACTAGACCATACAAAAATTAAGGGTATCCCAATTTAACTTGTGGATATAGAAGAATATGCCAAATAATATATTCAGCCAATTAAGCTAAGAAGATGAAGCTACAAAGAAAACCTGCCAACAGCACGAATCAGATTGGAAAATCAACGATAATAAAATAGTACATATATAATTCAAAACAAGAGAATAAAAGAAGTCTTGTGTCAGCCAAAAACTAAACTCCCCAAAAAGGAAAGCAGGAACGCATACAATGAATGCATGTAACACACTCATTTATACAGAGACCATATATTTAACTTCAAAGCAAAAGACCAAATTTAGTCAATATATATTTGCAAAATACGTGAGATACAAGGTAGATGACCTGCTTTAATCACAAAGGGAAAAGAATAAGGCAACATGATATGAGAAGAGAGCTAGAACATAATCATCATGAATCTTTACAGAGCTATATGTTGGCCAATTTGAAGACAAGGAAAAGCAGTATACAGTATACACATTAAGAAAAATATTAGAGCAAAGGTCACCTATTAAACTTGGTGAGACCTGGCAATTGTAAGGTGACAAATTGCAAGATAAATGTAAAGGGAAGAGAGGAGGAGTCAGACAGTAATAGCTACAAAGTGTTGGTAACTCCAGATCAGACGACATGGAAAAATAAATAAATAAATAACTTGCTTGCTCCCTAAAGGCCAAATTTTTAAACCAAACTACACAGCCAAAAATGCATTTATACATCATCAATCACAAAAATCAGCATGAAAACACAAATTAAATAAATAACGAGTATGAAGAGGTAATTCAGCAATGAAACTAGTGAGGACATAGTGACAAAATAATTACACTACCTACTAAATTTATTCATTTTTCAAAATCACAAAGAAGAGTTATATACAAATCAATATCTTTGGCAAATAGTTTCCATGAAAATGATAATAAGCAGGAACATGAAGCAAATATCTCCCTCCGTTTGTTAATAATTGTCTGCCATACTAAATTAATGCATTTAGCAATATCGGAAAGACGAGTTATACAAATCAACACTGTTATCTTTGGCAAACAGTTTCCATGAAGATGATAACAAGCAGAAAAGACAGGTCTGACATGAAGCAAATGTCTCACTTTGATTTACACTATTTTAGTATTTCATTGGAATTATAACTTCCCATGCGTTGTAATTTCCTAAAGGTATTTAATTCCCATATGCAAGCAAACGAGGTCTTACTATTAATGATATTATAGTTCAAAATTGTACTAGAGCAAACGTGTTCGGCCAGAGTGGAACAACAAATAAAAATTAGAGAAAGCAGAACATAGAGTATAATGACATAAAAGAGACTCAAGGGTACTAAATTAACACTAAGTGAATTCACAATCCTTAAATCCATTCTGCACAACATCATGCAGAATTCAATCTGTTTTCTATGCCAGCACCATCTCCAACATATTCAGCAAGAGCACATAAATTCCATTCACAAGTTTCTATTATGGAATGAAAGAACAGGGTAACAATTCAACAAGGGGTGATTATAATTTTTGTTAAAAATTGGTTCCACACTTCCACTCCAAGGGGAAAAAAAATACTTCCTCCGTTCTTTTTTTTTGCATCATAGGGGTTTTGGAGGCAAAATTTGGTAGTGGGAAAAAGTAAGAGAGAGAAACGTAAAAATACAAAATTGTCCATGTAATGTAAAGATAAAATAGGGTATGCTGGGTATTTGCAGTGTGAACATAAATATTTTTTGTCCCAAAATGTAAGTAATGCAATATTTGTGAAACTTCCCTAATAGGCAAGTGATGCGATATTAAAAGAACGGAGGAAGTACAAAATAAAAACTAACTACATCAACTTATTCAGTAGGGAAGAAAAAATGAAGAGGGCATACATTAAATCCGTACAAAACAATAGGCCTTTGAAATGAACAAAACCAATGAATTCAATAAAACTAGCAGGTACATACCTCATCTTTATCAAACAAGTGATATTCATCGGTATGCAACGGGTGTTGTAATAGGTCACTTCGATCATCTTCAAGACCCCCCAACTCAACCTCCTCCGCAACATTTTGACCAAAGAACTCATATTGAGAAGCATCAAAACATGAATTATCTGCAGCATCAAAGATAATTATTAACTCCCAACAAAAAATAGTGACCCAAATCACCTTATTGGTGTCGTACAATGACTAATAGATCAGTTTTTAATTTTTCAAATAGATTTCCTCACATCAATTCCACTTAGAAAGAAGGGGTTTTCACTACTTGTGAAAGTAGAATTGAAATACTATCAAATGAATTCATTTCATTAACAGATATAACTCTAACAAATCATTGAATGATTTGATATACTAGTCATTTTTGCACATTCAGAATACTAAGAAATGGGCATTAGATTAACCATTATCACAACAATATCTGGTTGACAAGGCCAGTTGGTAAAATCTAACAAAGCCTCCATAAGGACTTTCAGTGGCGGATCCAGGATTTCCAATCAGGGTAGTGCAGCAACGCATAGTTGTTTAAGAACATTTAAAACTAAATTAAAACCAAAATTTATTTTAGGGATTCAATTCATATTATAAATTTCCCCCTAAAACGATTAGCAAAATAACAAACCGAGTAATTTTTTCGATGCAATGCAATGTGTTAGTACATCGTTGTGCTCCTTATTGATTGACAATTTGATTTTGGACATCTACATTTGACAGAGAACTTATTCAACAATACTAAGATATATTATACATATTAAAAATAATCACAATAAATAAATAAATAAATTAAAATAAAAAAATAAAAAATAAAAATAAAATAAAATAAAATAAAAAAACCATACATAATAGTATGAAGTATCAAATTATTTTATTTTATTTTAATTAATACTAGTATTTTTGTACTCCAATCCATATCTAAATAATCATTATGGTTAATAAAATACTCCATATTCCGTAAATAATTTGTAAATTTGAAAAAAAATCTTTATTATTAAGAGTGGGTAAAAATACTTAAAAATAAAAAATAAAAACTCAATGAAAAAAATAGAAGTTGGGATTCGAACCCCTGATGCTTGCCGCACAACCCAAATTTTAACATGTTCTCCTTTTACCACTGCAGCAAAGGTCAGCATTTTGTATGAATATGCAGTTATAAAATTTTTATGCCATATTTCTGGGGGAGCACATGTTACTATGTAGATCCGCCACTGGGGACTTTATGGATGTCAAAAAAACTCACCATCTGTAGAAAAAGATCCAGAACCTGTACCCCCAATAGCTCCTGGATTTCGGGAATCACTCACTGCCTGTAGAGACAAGAATTAACAATGTTACAAACCAGAAAACAGAATAGTAAGTATTCGATATGGTCACTATAGCATGTGTGGATTAACTAGCCACAAGCCCACAAACAAAAAGGCATAGTAACTGTTTGCAACGGTGGTATACAAAATAATGAACTGCAAAAATATGATGCATATTGCACACAAAAATTTATAGCAATAAAGATTTGAGCACTACTTAAGCAATCACTTACATGATATGGGAGGTAGGCAATTGTCTTTTGTAATGAGGAGGTGAAAAAATTACGGAAAGTGGGTCCTATGGAGGGTTTCAAGCGTTTTATCAAGGATACTTGGGTGGTCAAGTCTCAGGTTCACCATTTTAAGACTCAAATAACTTCTATTTTGTTGCTAAAAATAAATTCCTTAGATTGCATGAGAGTGTTTGGTGAGTTAAAATGTCAAATCATTTTGGAGATAAAGAGCAGTCTTGAAGTAGGAACATCAATCGACATACTGACTACTGACTACTAGGTAATTGCTCTTAAGGAGGAACAGAAGCACACGTGAGTGTGAACAAACCATGCAACAGTGCAGGCTGTAAGGATGCTAACCTCCACCTCTGGTCCTAACGACAAGTTGTGAGAATTCATCTCGACCCCTTGTTAATGATGACTAGGATTCTCTAAAGGTAGGGTTTCATGATTTAGTCCCTAAGGGGCATCCCCTAAGAGAGTAATTTTGCCTATCATTTCGACTAAAATGAAAATAATAAAAGATTTTCCATGATTCCATCTTCTCTTGCATCTTTGTGGGCTATAATCTTTGTGACTTTCCAATCTTTGATAACACTTTGAGTGAGATCACTGAATGGAACCTTGATTTCTTCTGTGATAGTCAAATCAAATCTTTACCTTTTGCTCCTTATCACCATTAAAGTTGGAAATTTGATAAAATTTGTAAATTGCATGAAGATTATAGTTTATAATCACATTTCAGGTAGTGTCTATGTTACATCTGAGTTTAGAATCACATGAAGTTAGATCAATCCTAGTACATGATAACCTTAATAGTTATATTAAGCAAGGGCTTATCGCTGTTAGCAAGTTTCCCCTATCAAAGTATGCAATACTTAACACTTTACAAGTAGTGATGGGCAGGGTAGTGGACCAAAGTAGTGGTTGAAAGTAGCATTTTATAAAACCTAATGAGGCAGTGTTGGGAGGCTTAAGGGTTGTATTAAACGTATGACTTTTGTCTTCAGTAAATGAAATGTATAATAATATGACCACTATTGAGTACTTTTTTTTTATATTTTACAGATATTAGGTGAGCCCAATTTTTTTATAGCATCTTAAAAGTTTATCCTTTGGGTAAAAAAAAAAGTTCTTTAGATCCATGGTTATGGTTGGGATTAGCTATCAGCATGCTTTTCAACACATTCATATGATGTATTACATACAAAACCTAAAATATATTGTCTTTAGCTTACTACTTTAATTTGTTAAAAATGGTGAAATCACTGAATTATGTACTACTTGAACATTATGCATTGTCAAATATTGCATTAATTAAACCTAGCATATTATAGTGATCAGAAAAGCTTGAAGACTATAAAAATAGGGTTTTGGAGTTAACAAGCTTCAATCCATGTAGAAGCCCCACAGCAGCATAATAGAATAACCATGTCCAAATTTAACAGCAGCAAAATTGCATCCAGATGAAATGAGGAGGGTATAAAGAGGCTTGCTAAAGGAAGATGCAAAGTAGAGTGAGAGCATCTACACTTCTAGAGAGGAAGTTTCTTTACAGATACCAATTCCAACATTCACTTCGTAGCCAATGCTGAAGTGCAGGTATGGCATAAAGGAAATGCTTAAAAAAGAGAAATGCTACAAGTTGATCATGATAAATATGAAAATTCCCAACTGGAAAAAAATGATCAAGTATAGAGGGAAACATAACTTTATATTCTACAATAAGACAATTTAAACGTCCAGTACTTAATAATTACTATCAATCCTAAGATTTTGTCACTTAATAGTAGGCCATATTTCTAGTTTGGATTATCCCAAAAGTATATGTAGTACAACAGTTTCTAAATTTAGTTTGAAGAACATACATGGTATTTTAAACACCTTGTGGCAGAGGAAGTCTGATATAATTTGGATCATGAATCTAGATTTTTATATACATAAATTTCAACTTCCAGTAATAATTACTATCAATTCTAAGATTTTGTCACTTAATAGTAGGCCATATTTCTAGTTTGGATTATCCCAAAATTATATATATGTAGTACTACAGTTTCTAAATTTAGTTTGAAGAACATACATGGTATTTTAAACACCTTGCGGCAGAGGAAGTCTGATATAATTTGGATTATGAATCTAGATTTTTATATACATAAATTTCAAAAACTAAGAGATGTACTTTTTTAATAATTCAAGAATAAGCTGGAAATTTAAAATTCACAACAATATAAATTTATTAAATTTGGATTTTTTTTTTCCTTTTTTTTTTTGGGTGTGCATCTAAAGTTAGGATAAATTTTATTTCTTTTTTTATACCAATGATTTTATTTTCTAATCAATAATAATCTATTCAGTTTTTCCACATTAATACATAGACAATATGTATGAATACATGTGGATACAATTGAATTGAAGAACACCTAGCTAAGTACATTAGATAAAGACCTTTATAAGTCAAAATGCCACAAAAGGCTACAACCAAATTACGAGAAATTCCAAGTTTCTAAACATGAGAAACAAAATATGTTTCTCAAATGGCAAAGTCGTAAATAAATGTATTTTTTTACTGTTCATCGGCAAAACCGCTACTTTAGCCCTAAAACCGCTATTTCAAGTAGCACTTTTGCTTGTAATTTTTAAAATTTTAATCTCTTGAGAAACAAAATTTGTTTCTCATTTTGAGAAACTGGGCGGCCTCCCAAATTACATGTAACAACAATAAAGCAAGTAACACTATGTGTCACAATACTGAGATGCCAATTCAAACAATTCACCAGATAACAAAAGGCGATTGCACACTGATACTAGTAAAAGATACTAAGCTTAATGGCATATTTGGGTATAAGAATAAATACACTATTTTAACTAGTGTAACTATCAAGCACACAAATTCCCAGCAAGTAGGGTTTCGCCCTACCAAATACCCTAACAAAAAACGTATACTAACTGTTTCATCAAGTTGAAAAGCCAAACACCTCAGATAATTGAAAAGTTCCAAAAATCCAAAAACCCAGGGGAAAAAAAAAAAAAAAAAAAAAAAAAAAAAATGCATTAAAGCAAAGCTGATGCTCCCGAGAACACCCAACAGCTACTAATCCCAACTCACGCTCCCTCTCTCTATCTCTATCTCTCACTCGCCGCCATTTAATACAATTCATGAGATCTAGGGTTTTGTCCATTGAGCCCTAGATCTGTAAATTCGAAGCAGCAATTGAAAAGAAAGGGAAATTGGGGGAAAAGGAAGCTACATTAGGGTTTAATTGGAATTGAAGAGGCGACTGCCATGGAAGTTGAGCTTCAACCAGTAGCCGGCAATTGCGAAAGGGGAGACCAAAACACCCAATAGCATGACAAGATCAAAAGCCCCCAAATTATAATTAATCCACAATTGAAACTACAACCAGTAAAGATCCCACAATAGTGATGAAATTTATTGTCTAAAATCATCAAATCTTATTTGCCACACATAAAAGCAACAAGAAAACTGGAAAACACAAGCACAAAATCCGAGAATTGAAAATCACGAAAAACCCCATAAACATAGTGAAGAAACAAAGAATCAAAATCGAAAATTTAATCGAGTATAAACCTGAGAAGCTACAAGAAGAGTAGGGTGGAAAAGAGACTGTTGTTGCATCAAAGCTTGCTGCTGCGGCTTCATCATCTAGTTGTGCATTCCTCAAAAAAAAAAATAAGGGAAATTTTGATTGATATTCGAAGTTAGAAAGGGTTTCGACTTCGATGAAGACCTCTGAAGAACTTGGGAAGAAAGAGAGAGAGATACGAAAGAAAAGGGGGCTTCAAAGAGAAGGAATTAAAGTGGGTCTAAATTGCTGGCAAGTGGGGTGGGACTGTTAGAGAAAGAAAATACGTAGTACAAGTTTTTACTTAAAAATAAAATAAAATTAAAATAAAAAATTAATAAAAATTATCCAACCTTTGCTCATTATTCGAAAATAGTGAAAACTACTTTAGTCCCGTGCTTTGCACGAATTAAATAACTATTATTTATTTAAAATGGTTGTCAATATATTTTATTAAAAAAAAGAGTAATCATAATCTCATTAATTAATTTTGAAAGAAATATTGTAATTTTTTTTAGTCTTGAAACTTAGAAGGAAATGATAGAGAAAAAAAAAATGATGTCAAAAATAGTTTAGGCGGGAAATTTTTTATGAGAAGTTGACATGTGTCGTATAATGATGTCAACATGTTTTGTTTTAGTAATAATTAATTAATAGATACAAGTATCTCAACATGGGATAGCCAACAAGAGTTGGCTCAAGTGGTAAGGGAGGTCTCGAGTTTGAGCCTCACCGAATGTAGAAAACTCTTGTTGGGAGACTCACCCACCATAAGCCAGGTGTGCTACCCAGGTCGGATCCGGATGTAGTTGGAACTAAGCTCCGGTGAACCAGGAGGGGCAAACTAAAAATAAAAAATAAAAAATAAATAAAAATAAATAAATAAATAAAACATGAGATACATGAAATGTATCAGGTTACTACTATTGTAATTTTGTCAAAAAAATCTGTATTTTCAAGCTATAACAGAAGGCTTCAATGGAGCATTGAAGAACTTCAACCGCAAATGAAAAAACTTCAATGGAGAAACTAAACAGCTGCAAGGGGCTTTAATGGAGGACGACCTAAACCTTCCCCGTAAGGGTTAACCTTGCCCTTCTTTTCTCCCTTTATACTTAGGGTTTTCATTTAATCGGCAGATTCACCGCCGATATATTAGTGATGACAATGGTTGTACACAATCCACTTCTATGGAAGATGAGGATGAAAAAGATGGGGTAGGAGGAAAAAGAAAACATAAAAGAAATAGTATAAAAAAAATTAAAAAATTCATATAATTTATCTTATTTACAAATATGTCATTTTGAGATGCATCAATGTATCTCATGTTGAGATATTAGGGCTAGCTCCCGAAAATACACAAACCCTTAACTTTTTATTTGTCTCTTTGGTAAATTCGAAAAAAGTTTATTATCATTTTTGTTAATCATGTATTATTGATCAATAAAAATTATAATTATTTTAATTAAAATCCTTAATAGGGTTTTTTTTTTGTTAGACTTGAATTATTTTAGAAATAATTATTAAAAAAAAAAAAAAAAAAAAAAAAACCCCACCCCTCCTCCCTCCCTCCACTACAACAAATTGACCTTTGTGCCACATGTAAAATCGTGGCACAAGTTTAAAATTCCCGTGGCTATGCAATTTAGCCACATGAATTTTAAATCTACACTTGTGACACAAGAGGTTGTGGCTAGAAATTTGCCATGGGATAAGGGATATCGTGGCAAATTTTGATATTTATGCCACGAGTATTCCCGTGGCAAAGAATTCTTTTGCCACAAACATTAATGTGGCTAACAAATTATTTGCCACACATTCTACCCTGGCTAACAAACTTTGTTGCCACAATATTACTATAGCTAATAAGATTCTTTTCTCAAATTTTACCGTGGCTAGTGAACTTTGTAGCCATAAATATTACTATGGCCAATAAGGCTAAAAAAAATTAAAATAAATTTTGAAGTTGTATTAATTAAAATTAGTGCAAACACATACATATACACAAAAGTTACAAAAATATGTAATATGTGTTGTAATACACTAAAAACTAGATTATTACAATCTATAATTATGTTCGTGTCCTCTACTTTTAACTTAACATAATTTGTTGTGCTGAAATTGATAAGGCAAGAATGCATCAATTTGTTGCTACTGTGCGGAGTGTTAAACCTCTAGTCTAGGGGATCTCATATGTGAGAATTTTAGTGAAACATGATGTGGTGCTGGATGACATTGAGCCCTTTTAACTCGTCACTAAAGTCCTATAACATCGAACAAAAAAAGCATTAGCCCATCCGAATAACAATTGTATCTCTTGAAGCACCCAACAACGACTATGCAAGGATTTATAACAAAGACAACAATCTTTATAGCGATAGGCCGACAACAAAAGATGCAGCATCAGCGTCGACTACATTAGCAACAATAGCTGCAGTGGCTAGCCTGGCTGCATTAGCAGTGAGAATGTTATGCATTCGCAATAATTGATTTTGTAATAAAGTGAGAAGAAATAATATCACTATTATAAGTCTAACTCAAGCAGAAGCAATAGGAAAAGACTGTAGGGTAGCAAGCAGCGAAGGGGCAAAGGCAGCAGCAGCTAGTAAGGGGGAAAAGAAACTAGATCAGCAAGCAAGGGAGGTGGATGGGCAATAGCAGCCAACAGGGGAAAAAGGAAAAATGAAAAAGAATTAGATTACAGTCCATGACTCTAAGTGAAACTAAACTCTACTAATCACAGGACAAAAAATCTCCCTTATTTTGTAGCAAATGTTCATCAAAATTAATAATGATATACACAGACCAAGATATATAAATGTATCTGCAAAGTATACTCAGTAACAACAAATCTCAGTAGACAATAAAGCTGCAATATATACCACAACAAAGTTAAACAACATTACAAGACTGAAACACAAGAAAAAAAAATTATAAAGCAAGTTGTCTGCAACTTTCATAGATTTCTTAATCTTATTCAAGGTCCTTAGAATATTTTTTATACACGAGATGCATGCAATGCTGCTAATGATGAATGTCATTTATGGCATTCACATGGTAGTTTTCTTCGTAGTTTATGCTCGTTTTTAGCTTTTTATGTCGTGTTTTTAGGTAATAATGCTTGTTTTACGTGCTTGTGTGCATGTTTTTATTGGTTTTATTATCCTTTTTATGCATTTCTTTGCTATTCTCTCGCTTTCTGTTTGGTATGATTTGTTTTGTAGGTGTGTCAGGATTTTCCGAGTTTCAAATGTCGAGGAGGATGCCCAACACGAGCTTTGGAAGTCAACAAAACCAAGTCCGGGAAGTTATAGAGCAAGCAAACCAAGTTAGAAGTCAATACATAGTTGCTTGGGCAAGAATGCATGCCCAAGCATTGGAGAAGTTAATTTGCTTCTGTGCTTGGCATACAAAGGGTGCTCGGCCGAGTGGCTCGTCATGCCCGAGTAGCTCTCCGCACCAAGCATCCCCCGCAAGCAAGCAGCAACTCGGGCAAACAAGCATCTGCTCGGCCAAGCACTACCCGAGCCAAAAGAGGGTATTCTCGGGCATAGGCATTTGCTCAGCCGGCCAGATCAGTATGCCCGAGCAGCCCTGTTTTGCAGTTTTGCCTATTTTTCTTTATTTTCTCTTATAACTATGAACCTTTTATTTTGAGATAGACTTCATTTTTAGCATTTTAAGAAAGAGATTAGTAGGCTATTAGAGAGAGAAACTAGAGAGAGAGAGTGTAGATTTTAACATTTGATCTTTAATTCAATCTAATCCAAGTTTAATTCTCTTTTGATCTTCAAGTTTGTAAGATTTATTCTTCTAGCTTTCAATCATTGCCTTTAATTCTTGTTGTTGATGAAATTTGCATTTGATTTTGCTTATTTAAACTTGATTTAGCTTAATTGATTTGCTTTGATTTCTTTTGCAATTATGATAATGATGATGATTAGCTTTGCTTTGTTTCTTCAATTCATGATGATTGGTGAGTAGATTTCTTAGCTAGTGTGTTGGGGAAGCATGTGTGATTATTAGATTGTTGCTAATTTGGGGATTTTGATCGATAGATTGTTGTGATTAAATTGATTGATGGATTTGTACATGTGTTTAGTTTGATAGGATTGATCAACCTAGATTGCTAAACTTGATTGCATTGATGATCTTGATGAGATGACCACTTGATTTGAGATTGTCAATTTTCAATTTGTTTGAATTGTGATTCTACTAGTTTGTCATTCATAGTGGAAACCTTGCTTGATAATTAGTCTAGATAACCTTTGAACTCTTTGATTGCAAATACCATTAGTCCTTACAACACTCATTGCTTTTATTAACCCCCAATTTGGCACCTCTATTATGATTATATGTGGAACCTAGTCCCTAGAATCTTTGTGATTGATTTTCCTCGATTTCTTATTTTTTGTTGATTAGTTTAGTTCACAATACACTCATACACTTGCTTCAAGGTAGCTTGACACAAGATTATAGCGATAGACCCCTCATTCCTTGTGGATCGACTTGGACTTGCCCCTATACTACGAGTAAGTTTGGTTATAAATTTAGTTGGCATAGGTGAGCTAGTTAAACGACCTAGTTTCAACCCTTGTCAAATGGCGTCATTGCCGGGGAATGGCGTAGTTTGATTACTTTAGTTTGTTGAGTCTACTTCACTTTATTTGAAATACAAAAAGATTTTTCTCTTTCGGCTACACTTATAGCCGTGTTACTAATCTTTTCATTGAGTTTTTGCATGCATAGTACTTGTGCTCGTTCACCTGTTCCTCTAGATCTGGAAATTGAAAGAACAATCTCTAGAAGACGAGTTGCTTCAAGATCTTTGAGCCCCAATCCACCAAGACAAGAGGTTGAACAAGAAAGCATGGGAGACAATCCAAGGGTATCTTTGAAGGAATTAGGGATTCTAGGTGCCTATAGGTTCGAGAGCGGGATTGCTCCACCTACAACACCCGCCAATGATTTTGAAATTAGACCGGCGATGATCACTTTAATAGAAACGAGGCAATGTTGGGTTTCGTGATGTCCAACATCACGCAGAAGGAAACCCGCCAAAAATCCGCACACAAATTCAAGTAACTAAGCATGTATTAAAACCATAATCACATGATTAACAAGTAGAGAGAGAAAGAATCATTACCTTTGACGCGTGCTTTTCTTTCACTAGAGCTCGGACTTGAAAGCATAAAGTCTCGCAAATGCGCAAACCTGTGACAGCTAACACCCTCGCTCCCCGAACCGACCCGGCCTTGACCCCGAAGCTTAGTCGGGGTTAGGCCAAAATTACTTAGAGTATTAAAACGAAGATTTTCTCTTCTTAGAGATCCCTTCAAGTTCACAACTCAAGTGCTCCTT